AACCAACAGAGAAGAGATGAACCAAAGAAAAGGACAAAACTTATAGTCTTTGGTGGCTGCCAAATTCCTTTTAACTTGAAGACTCCAAATCAAGTCTTGGATAAGAGTCATACACGGGTAAACCACCAAAAAATTAGCAAATTGATGAGTCCCACAAAGGAGGGAAACCCAACAATTCTCCCCCTCCCGACTTATGTGGAGGATTCGACCATTCCCGCCAAAAGTCGACACTTCTCATGCTTGTCCTTAGTCAATGTCTTAGTTAACATATCCGAAGTGTTATCATCAGTGTGAATTTTTTCAAGTTGTAACAACTTATCATTGAAGACATCACGAATCCAATGATATCTAACATCAATATGTTTCGATCTCGAATGAAATGAAGAATTCTTGCTCAAGTGGATTGCACTCTGACTATCACAATGAAGGACATACCTTTCTTGTTTCAAACCCAACTCTTGTAAGAATTCCTTCAACCACAATAATTCTTTGCAAGCTTCAGTGATGGCGATGAACTCAGCTTCTGTGGTGGAGAGAGCAACACATTTCTGTAATCTTGATTGCCATGCCACTGCTCCCCCTGCAAAAGTAATCAAATAACCAGAAGTAGATTTTCGACTATCAACATCACCAGCCATATCAGAGTCTGTGAACCCATCAAGAATAGGCTCGCCTTTACCAAAACACAAACTCATCTTTGAAGTGCCCTGAAGATACCTCATAATCCATTTCACTGCTGCCCAGTGTTCTTTCCCTGGATTAGACAAAAATCGACTGACAACCCCAACTGCGTGAGCAATATCCGGTCGAGTACAAACCATGGCGTACATCAAAGAACCAACTGCTGAAGCATAGGGAATTTTCTACATCTCATTTTTCTTTTCATCACTTGTAGGACACTGACTTGAGCTTAGTTTGAGTGGCCTGCAAGTGGACAACTAACAGGCTTTGCTTTGTCCATATTGAACCTCTCAAGAACCTTTTTAATATAATTCTCTTGAGATAACCAAATCAGCCCATGTGATCTGTCACGAACAATTCTCATCCCAAGAATTTGCTTTGCTGGACCCAAATCCTTCATGGCAAAGGACTTACTCAACTCTGACTTCAACTTGCTAATCTTACTTGTGTCTTGGCCCACAATAAGCATATCATCAACGTAAAGCAAGAGAATAATAAAATTACCATCTTTATATTTCTTCACAAACACACAATGGTCTGAAGTGGTTCTTGAATACCCATTCTCATTCATGAAAGCATCGAATTTTCTGTACCACTGCCTCGGTGCTTGCTTCAATCCATACAAGCTCTTCTTCAATTTGCAAACTAACTGATCATTACCCTTATCTTTGAAGCCCTCAGGTTGCTCCATATAAATTTCCTCTTCTAAGTCACCATGCAAAAATGCGGTCTTCACATCAAGCTGCTCAACTTCTAAATTCATACTCGCAGCTATACCAAGCACAGTTCGAATGGAGGACATCTTCACAACTGGTGAGAATATCTCATCAAAATCAACTCCCTTTCTCTGATCAAAACCTTTCACGACAAGTCGTGCCTTGAATCTCGGTTAAGAACTGTTCCCATCATTCTTTCGTTTGAAGACCCATTTATTTTTCAAAATTTTCTTCCCTTTAGGCGGCTTCACCAAATCATAGGTGTGATTCTCATGCAAAGACTTCATTTCCTCTTTCATGCCTTGAACCATTCAGTTTTGTTCTCATGCTTCAAGACTTCTTGATAAGTCCCTGGCTCCCCCTGATCTGATATCATCACATACTCATTTGAAGAATATTTTCTGGATGACTGTTTTTCTCTAGTAGATCTCCTTAACGGTGTCTGTGGTAGTGGCTCTTGGGGTGGTTGCTCCCCCTCAATCTCTGGCTCAACATCATCTTCTGCTGCATCATCATGAGGTGTTTGCACTTCCTCATCAATATCATGAACAGCAGAGGGATTGAGAGGATCTAAATCAACAAGATCATCAGTACTAGACTCAGCTGACTCAAGCTTGTCGATGTCTTCAATAGTCTGATCTTCCAAGAAAACAACATCTCGGCTTCTGACAACTTTCTTGTCAACTGTATCATACAACCTGTATCCAAATTCTTCATGCCCATAGCCAAGAAATATGCATTGCTTTGCTTTTGGATCAAGCTTGGACCTTTCATCTTTTGGAATATGAACAAAAGCTCTGCAGCCGAATACCCTCAAGTGATCATAGGAGACTTCCTTCCCTGTCCAAACTTTCTCTGGCACATCACCATTCAACGGAACTGAAGGAGACAAATTGATAAGATCAACTGCGGTCCTCATTGCCTCACCCCAAAAGGATCTTGGCAATTTAGAATGTGAGAGCAAACATCTGACTCTCTCAAGAATGGTGCGATTCATTCTCTCTGCAACCCCGTTCTGTTGAGGTGTCTTTTTAACTGTCTTTTCATGCCTGATACCATGATTTGTGCAATACTGATCAAATGGTCCAATATATTCACCACCATTATCCGAGCGAACACATTTCAACTGTCTACCTGTTTCTCTTTCAACCTTGGCCTGAAAAATCTTAAACACATCTAGAACTTGATCTTTAGTTTTCAGTGTATAAGCCCAAACTTTTCTAGAGTGATCATCAATAAAAGTGACAAAGTATAGAGCACCACCAAGTGTCCTAACTTTCAAAGGACCACATACATCAGAATGTACCAAATCTAAAACATGAGATTTTCTAGATGCAATGTTTCTACGGAATGATATTCTGTTTTGTTTACCATGGAAACAATGAACACAAGTTTTCAAAGGCGTACCTTTTATCCCCACTAGAAGCTCTTTCTTGGACAAAACTTGCAATCCTTTTTCACTCATATGTCCAAGCCTTCTATGCCATAAATCAGTGGATGAGTCATTCTCTAAGGTATTCACAACACCCTTGCAGATTTTTGCTTGCATAGTGTAAAGAGAACAAGTCTTCTTTCCTTTTGCTACCACTAGAGAACCTTTGGAGAGCTTCCATTTTCCATTACTGAAATTGTTGATGTAGCCTTCATCATCTAACTTTCCAGCAGAGATTAAATTGAGTCGAATATCTGGTACATGCCTCACATCTCTAAGCAGCAATTTGCATCCAATATTTGTTTCCAAGCAAATGTCACCCATGCCGACAATTTTTGACACATCTTCATTTCCCATACGGACATTCCCAAAATCACCTTGTGAGTAAGAAGTAAAGAAATCAGCCCGCGAAGTAACATGAAATGAAGCTCCAGAATCAATTACCCAATCCGTCTCTTGGCCAATCAAATTAACGCTAACATCATCACGGATAATCATGAGTTCATCATCGGTAACTACAGCTGTATCAATTTACTTTTTCTCTGAATTTTTCTCTTTGTTCTGCTCCTTGAACTTGAGTTTTCTACATTCCCGCTTCATGTGCCCTTTCTTGTGACAATAATAGCATTCAACATCCTTTTTTGACATCGAGCTTGAACGACCTCTAGATTTATCACGGTTGTGCGGAACCCTACTCTTACACCTGCCTCTCCCCGGTTTTCCATTACAAGTGCCTCGGAGTGAGAAGAACCTGATGATTTTCTTCTAGTTTCTTCATTCAACAAACTGCTGGTAACTTGACTCATTGTTACCACTCCATCAGGTGCGGAGTTACTAACTGTGACCACCAAAGTTTCCCAGCTTTCAGGAAGTGAACTAAGAAGTAACAAAGCTTGCAACTCATCATCAAAAGTAATTTTCATGGCGGCCAACTGATTCACAATGCTCTTAATCTCATTCAAATGCTCTGCAATAGAAGTACCCTCCTTATATTTAGAGTTCACAAGCTTTTGAAATAAAAAGGCTTTATTCACTGCCGTCTTTCTATCATACAAACTCTCCAATTTGGTCCAAAGACCATGTGCAGATTTTTCTGTAGAGACATGATAAAAGACACTATCATCAATCCATTGCCGAATAAAACCGACAGCATTCCGGTCTAGCTTTTTCCACTCGTCATCTTTCATCCCTTCCAGTTTGCCACTATCACCCTCTATGGGTCCATTCAAATCTTTACAAAATAAAAGATCTTCCATTTTAGTTTTCCAAGTCACCCAATTTGTGCCATTGAAACTAACCATACGTCCAACGTTGCCGTCCATAATTCGCACACAGAAATATAACGAATCGGAACCGAATTAACCAATTGCTCTGATACCAGATGTTGGGAAAATAGGCTTTCCCACAAGTATAAATCAATGGAAGCAATATAAATAAAATAACAGAAAATAAATAAGCACACAAGATTTACGTGGTTCCCTCAAATAACTTGAGGTACATCCACGACGACCGGTAGATCAGTTTCTTCCACTATCACCAAATCAGATTATAAAGTGGCCAAAAGGCATAAGCCTTACAAACACACCAAGGTGTAAATCACAAGAGGAAAATACCTCACAAAATAAGTGAACCAAATCTCCAAGAACAAACCGCAAGAAACCCAAATATCAAGTGAAGAAATGTTACCCACTTGAAGAACAAATTTGCAGATTTTTCTGGCACCAAAAAGGAGAAGAAGAAGGCTGAATTTTTGTTGAACCAAAGACTGCCGAAAATATGTCTTCTTGCCAAACCAACAGAGAAGAGATGAACCAAAGAAAAGGACAAAACTTATAGTCTTTGGTGGCTGCCAAATTCCTTTTAACTTGAAGACTCCAAACCAAGTCTTGGATAAGAGTCATACACGGGTAAACCACCAAAAAATTAGCAAATTGATGAGTCCCACAAAGGAGGGAAACCCAACATACTTAACTATTAGATTCAATATATCTGAAATATGGGAAGTTTTATTCATCATTTCCTTGATACAGACATATATTTGGCACCAAATTACTATTTTGGTAAGCCAAACTATGCATATTTATTACTGCTTCATTATATTACAAGCATGTATGAAGCATCTTATTCCTGTAAGTAACTCTGGAGACGGCTCGAGCGGTCCCTTTAAATGCCTAAGCAAAAGGCCTCTGGTTGTAGCAATCCAGATTGTTGCCATAGCCTACTCCTAGTATGTCACAGTATCTTTTGTAGAAACCGATCCGATCCTCCACCTGTGGGTTAGAACCTTTACCACATTCAATTCCACCGTTGATGATATTGGTGATCACACCATAGCCAGGGACACGACCGGCTGCTGTATCTGCTGCCGATGGCCTCCATGTTCCGGTGATGACGTCGTGGCATGAAGGTTTTGGCGATTGGGGTGTCATCCAAAACCAAAACGCTGTCTTGAAAGAAACTACTGGATCGTTTGCAACAGTTTCGGGGCTGTTTAGCAGATTCATTCCGATGGCTCTTCCTGCTGGACCATAGTTGTAGTTGCTGGCAAATCATGGTAGACGTCCGAGTACAAAGTTAAGGTTTTTGTGATCGATGCAATTTAGAAGAAGAGGACAAAACATGTTCTAATCTGTTGATTATCTAACCAAAAGTAAAAAAGACAAACACTTACTGTGTGATTTGAATGGGTCCTCGACCATAGTACTTCTTACCAGGAACGCATGGCCATTGTTGATTTGGAGTACAATAATCTGGTGGGTTGCCTCGTTCTTCTTTGAAGCAGTATCCCCATGCATATGGACCATCTGGGGCTGTAGGCCACCCACCTATGTTAATCCATCCAAAACTTATAAGTAATCATGTTATCATTATTCTTTTTTGTTTCACAGAAATAGCCTCCCCATACACGAGTATGAATACATAAACCAGATCCTCTATCTACAAACCCCAAAGTGACAAGAACGTTTTTTCGTTTTCTTTTTCATTTGTATCATTTTCGAGTTAACTAATACTCCGTTCAGTAGGAATGATGAAAAGTAGGAAAGATACACTTTCAATTATTCAATGATGAAAAGTAGGAATAATACGTTTTCCTTCTTTTGTGTTTGGTTAGATAGATGAAAAATAAAAATAATCATTTTTTTTGTCTCATATTTAAGGTGACAATCGAGTCATGTCGTATCAGATTCGTGTTATTATAAATTTTTTATATTTCTTACTCGCGTAACAAGTCAATTTCAAATTCGTTTCGAGTTATTATCAAATTCGTGTCATAAAATTCGTGTCCAATTCCAATCGTGTCATCGTGTTGAATAGAAATTTTTCATCCCTAAAATATGAAAAAAAAAAAATTTAATTTAAAAATTTTTTTTTTTAAAATTTTTTAAAAAGTATATATATATACATATTTTATTATTGTATTTTTATATGAAATTAATGTATACATTATATATAAACAAATAAGATATATCTAAATACAAATAATTAACTTTCTATCCATTTTCCTTTTGATTTTGGAGAGAATGATTTTGGTAAGTTGAAAGAAAAGTTAATTCATCAACTTTTTCATCCTTACTATTTTCTTTCCTTACAAAACATGATATTTTATTTATTCATCTAATTTTCTATCCTTCTAACTTTTCATCCTTTCATTTTTTCATCATACCAAACAGGGCATTAAGGTTTAACTCCTTTATATGTATCACTACACATTCCAATCTTAATTAGTGGTCGCGAAAAGATGCCATAAGGAAGACTTGGGTTTGGGTTTGCATGTGGGGTGGGGGAAGGGAGACTTTTCTTCTGATATAGACATTTTAATCATTGATTATCGATTTTCAATTTCTAACGATGTGGAGCCATCACTACATGTATCAATCTTAATTAGGGGTCGTGAACAAACGCCGTAAGCAAGACTCTAACCACTGATATTTTTAAGTAGGACAATGAAAGTTCATATTCGATACATTTCTTTTCTTCTTCAATTGATCATAGTTATGTTATTTCATGACTCCCACTACACTTTTCTTTTGATAATATTAATGTTGGGATATTTTAACCATTGATTGACAGATTTTAAAAGTTGTATTAACCGCAATCTCTAATTATGTCCTAAAAAATATGTGTGTTTTTGAGTTATCACTACATGCATCCATCTTGATTTGCTTGAATCGGGGAAGATGGGATTTGAGCAATCTTACCAATACAAACAAATTTTGGGGTCCAAACTTCAAGACACGAAAAATGGGTACAATCTAATTCTTTACAAGAAAACTTGATACAACCTTAATTACAATACTAAAATCTATCCTAAACTAATATAAAAACCACTACTAATGATGCCCAAGTCATGAGAACTGTTATTTCTTGAATTTCAAGAGTCGTATTAACTGATCCTAATTCTTTCTTTGATTACTGATATCCCTTATAATAACTTAATCATCCTTTCGTAAATAGCTCCAATCTTAAAACTATTACTCTTCAAATTTCAAACGTCATACCGACTGGCCTATCTCTTCCACATTACTCAGAATGCCAATCACGTGACAAGTTCTTTGCAGATTTTTTCGTGACATGTGTCTTTCCTTGTACATCCCAAAGTAACATATTTACCAAATATTGTAGCGCATGAGCCATCTCTGGATTTTTTGAATTTTCTCATGAGCTTAATCCAGAGAATGTACCTTGGACCCGAAAAGAATGTACCATTTGGACGAGTTAGGCAGGACTATAAGGGTATTTGTCGCCTTGCGTGTTGAATAAGACACCTGTATTACAGTCAAGATTCCCAGTCGGTGTCTAGAGACCTTTCCATCAAATCTTTCTCGTACCATCAGTTAAAATCACCCCAAGTACTATGGTAAAAAAAAGGGTTGATAAGTATTTTTGGTTCTTCAAGAATGTATTTTTTGTTAATTTAATTTTTATTGTATTAAATTTTTTTAATTTGGTCCTTATAATATTTAAATTCGTGTCATTTTGGTCATTAATCACACAATTTTTTAATTCTTTTATGGAAGAGATCATGTGTTATTTTTTTAGACGGGATCATATTTTCAACACATGATCATTCAATCAAAAATTTAATAGTTCTTTTCTATACAAGCGTAACATAGTAATTTCTGACACAACACAAAAACACGACTTGAAATAAACACAAAATTTTGAGTTAGGTTAGTTATTTCTCAACACAAATTCGTATATAACACGATCCCTTAACACGAACAACAAATAGGTTGAATTAGTATCAAATACGATCAATACATTTAAATATTATTATAAGAATAAAATATTAATTTTTATTATATTTTATCAAGTAGTGACCTAATTTGTGTACAAAAAAAATTATTTTTACTTATTATTATTATTATATTTATTGAATTAATTTTTAATTTAGAGAAAAAATATGAGCAAAAGTTTGATCAAGAGATAAAAAAATTTTATACATAAAACAGAGGGTTAAATTTTTTATTGACGGGTTATATCGGCTAACACAAAGATAACATGAAAATACATAAATCAACACGACACTATTAATTAAATAAGTTGAATTAAAATTAATTAATATTCAACATAAAATTAAAATAACCTGATACGAACGCGACGGACGAACTATGGAAGTGTAGTCTAGCTAAAAGACTGATGGGTACGTGTGATTTTGCAAATACCTAATCAACCCAACCTATTAGCTTTGACCATATCTTCTGGTTACCTTCCTACTAGAAACTTCTTTTTTTATTTTTATTTTTCAATTGCCAATCACAAAAGGATTGGTAAGTGTTCGATTGAATAGTTTATTTGATTAAAGGGGCATACAAATAGTCATTATATAAGTAAAGAAGATTTATATTGAAGATTTACCCCAAAAAAAATATTCTATTAGGGGTCCATTTCTATACTAAGGTATCTTCAACCCTAACTCAAATTTAAATTTGAGTAAAAAAATTTTAAAAATTTGCTCTAATTTTTATTCAAACTTATACCAAATCAAGGGAGACTATTTTTTTTTTACTCAACATCTCAAACTATGACTTAAATTTTTACTCAAATTTAAGTTAGCATTTGAGTAAAAAGTTTGATTTGATACGAAGGACTTCAATTGACAAACTCAAATTTAAAGAATGAGACACTTAAATTTAAATGAGAACAAACTCAAAATTAAATGAGAGTAAAGATGACCATTAGATCTTTAAAATATGGTAAAATCTCATCATTAAAGATGTGAGTAAGGATTTGAGTCTCCCTTAATTTGAGTAAAAAAAAAGTCTCTTGATTTGGTATAAGTTTGAGTAAGGGTTGGAACAAGTTTTTAAAATTTTTTTATTTAAATTTAAATTAATATTTGAGTAAAAAGCTTGATTTGATATAAAGGACTTCGATGGACAAACTCAAATTTAAAAAATGAGAGATCCAAATTTAAATGAGGGCAAACACAAATTAAAAGAGAGTAAAGATGACTATTGGATTTTTAAAAAATTCTGAAATTTTACCATTAAAGATTTGAGTCTCTCTTACTTTGAATAAAAAAATGAGTTTCCTTGATTTTGTATATGTTTGAGTCAAGGATTGAAACAAGTTTTTTAGACTTTTTTACTCAAATTTAAATTTGAGTAAGGGTCGGAGATGCCCTTAGAAAGACTCAAATTCTTACCCAAATCTTTAATGGTGAGATTTCACCATCTTTTAAAAATTCAATTGTCATCTTTACTCTCATTTAATTTTGGGTTTGCCCTTATTTAAATTTTAATTTTTTCTTCTTGAAATTTGAGTTTATCCATTGAAACTCTTTGTATCAAATTAATCTTTTTACTTAAATACTAATTTAAATTTGATTCATAGTTGAAAATGCTAAACAAGCTTTTAAGAGAACTAAAATAATCCTACTCTAAGGGTTCTAAAAATTCTAGGGGGGAGCCGTGGCCCCCTTAGGCCATGGTGTAGCTCCGCCATGCTTTTAAGAGAACTAAAATAATCCTACTCTAAGGGTTCTAAAATTCTAGGGGGGAGCCGTGGCCCGCTTAGGCCATGGTGTAACTCTGCCATGGCTCGTGCTACAATATTTGGTAAATAAAATTTCAAAAGCATGGTGTTACATTTCGATTCTTTTGGGATGTACAAGAGAGAAGAAACAAGTCAAGTATAAATCATCAGCGAACTTGCCACGTGGTTGGCATTCGAGTAATGTGGAAAACATAGGCCACTTGGTATGACGTTGACAGTAATCAAAGAAAGAATCAGGATAAGTTAACATGACTTGGAGTTCAAGAAAATATTAGTTGTCAGGATTTTGACATCATTAATTGTAATTTTCTAATTAGTTTAGGATGGAATTTAGTAATGCAATTAAGACTGTTTCACTAAAACTATTTCGTAAATGAGTCCCTTTTAAGATTAATAAATAAAAATATTACCTTTTGTTAATCTTTCTTAAATCATTCTCTTTTACTTAAATTAGGTCAATTATTTTTATACAAAAAAGTTCTGAAATAAAACAATTTATCATTTAAACAATTACTTGAAGTACGTCGTCCGTAGAAGGAGAACTACCAGGCAATCGCGAGAGATTTGGACCAACACAATGCGACAACCTTCCCTCAGATTGGCAACAACAATTCGTAATTTAATTTAAGCTTACACAACACATTCGATTTCAGATCAAAGCTTTGGAAGCCTTTGAGTCGCCTCCAATCCTTTGATCAAAATTAAGCCTCTCCGACCATCTTAAAAAGTTGGAGTTGTCTACGATATTGAATTTTTTTTTTTTTTTGTGTCTTATTGATATTTTTCACATTTGTGAGTACTTTTAGTACTATTGTGATAATTATAAATAATAATAAAAATAATTTTCACAACAATGAAAAAAACATACACAAAATAGTAAATTACTCGCAAAAGTGATAATTGTTTTTTTATAGAAGAAAAGTAATAAAAATAGTTACAACAACATTGGTAAAATTGTTGGACTAAGGCAAATTTTGGCAATTAAAATTTGATTTTTAGTCGACTTTGAGTCGAAATTAAAGTGAGAACTACTTGTTGTTTCTAGTAAATTTTCATGGGTTTGTGTTTTACTTCGGGAGAAAAATAATATAGTGTATTCACTTGCTCAAATCGCATATAAAATGAATGAGAAAATATGTTCTAAAATAACTCATTTGGATTGTGAAAATAGAGATTGTGTAATGTAGGATTTGACACTAATCTCATATTGATTGACGAAAATTTTTACTTATACATACATATGTCAAGTTTGTTCTCTATGAGATACCACACTTTTATGAGAAGAACGAACGCCTACATATCATCGATTTCGACCACACACAAGTCACCCCGTTGGGTTCAAGTGTGAGTATGGTCTGATGGGATGTCCACTGTCTTCTACAAAATGTATTGTCATGTCATAAGGAATGACCTTATAGATGTGATAAGAGCTTTTTTCGCAGGGGCTACATATCATCGATTTCGACCACACACAAGTCACCCCGCTGGGTTCAAGTGTGAGTATGGTCTTGATGGGATGTCCACTGTCTTCTACAAAATGTATTGTCATGTCATAAGGAATGACCTTATAGATGTGATAAGAGCTTTTTTCGCAGGGGCCACATGCTACATGCTCATAGAATTGAATAAAACATTTATCTGTCTCATCCCTAAATCTCCTAATCCTACCACTGTCCACCAATATAGACCCATTAATTTGTGTAATGTGACCAATAAGATTATCTCCAAAATCCTAGCTAATAGGATTAGGCCATTCCTTGACTAGATCATCTCCCCCACCCAAACAGCTTTTGTGTCTGACAAAAATATAGCTGAAAACCTAGTCCTCGCCCTAGAAGTCATCCATCAGTTGAAGAGGAAAAAAGGAAAAGGTGCATTAATGGTTTTAAAACTAGATATGTCCAAGGTTTTTGATAGGATTGAGTGGTCACTCCTTGTCAAAATTCTATCGTTGATTGGTTTCCCTTTGCAGTTCATCCAATTAGTTGAACAGCGTGTTTTCACCCCACCTTCTCTGTCCTCGTTAACGATGGTCTACTAGGAAACTTTACAGGGAACAGTGCATTTAATTTTGGTATCCGTTTGATTTAAATTCGCTCTAGTTCAAATTTTTGCTTCTCTCCTTTTTGAATTTTTGAGTTGTATCTATTTAAATTTTTGAGTTCTCTTCAGTCCGAATGTAATTGTTTCGTTCTTACCTGTTCCTATTTCGTTCTTAATTATTACCGTTTTATTCTATATTGCATGATGCAAATCAAAAAATTTAATAAATGATTTTTTTTTCTGGTAAAGAATTGGATTGTATCCTGATTTTCATATCTTGACTTTTGAACTCCAAAAATTTGTCTGTATAGAGTTAAGATAAGATAAGATTGAAGTAATAAAAGTCCGTCGGATCTTTCGCAATTCAAGCAAATCAGGATGGACGCTATAGGAGAAACCACGGTGTACTCTGTATAGAACAAGCAAATCTTAAGAAGCAGACGCCACGAACTACTAGTTGGAGAGGAAGTCCATTACACGTTAGCTAATTCTAGAATAGCTAGACATTCTTGACTATGTTTCAGAATGGAAGAGAAGCCATGGAAGGAATTGAATTAACTATGTTGGATGAATGGAATGAATGGGAAAAAGCCCCCAATTTTCCTGAAGATTAAAAATATACATTTTTATTTAAGATCTAATTAGGTATCTAAGTCATGTGGTTTTAAAAACGTCGTTTGAACATTTGTTTTTATCATAAAAGACGTTAGTTCAACTAACGTAAAAACGTCATTTCAACCAACGTCTTCAAAATACCTTTTTTTTATTTAAAAAGCCACATAAATAAAAAAGAAAATCAAAAACAAATCTAAGGTAGTGGTAATAGAGACAAATTATAAATTCAGATATCTTGAGTTTGCATTTGAGTAATATCTCGAGGTTATATCATGAAAGATTTATTCCTCATAAATATTTTAATCTTCATGTGATGGTCTACCTTTAATTGGTCTAAAATGAAATTAGTCGAGTTACGCATAAATTAATCCAAACAACCGTCGAACCAAAAACAAAAATCAAAAACACAATTTTTTTAAGAGCTAATTAGGGATCTTAGGTCAATACAACAGTTAAAAACTGTCGGTTAAAATATTCCTACAACACTATCAGAAGAAAAGTCTTAACTCCCCCACCCTTCCCCCCAAACCTAAGTAGGATGGGTACATGTAGTGATGGCTCAAAACACTCGTTAATGTCCCTACTAGGGCTACTGGCCCGGATGTTCCATTTGCTTGGGGATACTGCTTCAAAGAAGAACAAGGCAACCCACCAGATTATTGTGTTGCAAATCAACAATGGCCATGCGTTCCGGGTAAGAAGTACTATGGTCGAGGCCCCATCCAAATCTCATAGTAAGTGTTTTCTTTTTCACTTTGGTTAGATAATCAACAGATTAGAACATGTTTTGCCCTCTTCTTATGAATTGCATCCATCACAAAACCTTAACTTTATAATTGGATATGTACCATGACTTGCCAGCAACTACAACTATGGTCCAGCAGGAAGACCCATTGGATTGAATCTGCTAAACAGCCCCGAAACCGTTGCAAACTATCCAGTAGTTTCTTTCAAGACAGCGTTGTGGTTTTGGATGACACCCCAATCGCCAAAACCTTCATGCCACGACGTCATCACCGGAACATGGAGGCCATCGGCAGCAGATACAGCAGCCTATTAATTAATTTCAACTCGAGTATATTGGGCCTATTAATTAATTCAGCCTATAAAATTAAAAAGCCCAAAAATTCAATTATTTGAAAAAAAAAGTTAATAGTAAAACTAACGCTACTAAAAATCAAGCCTTAAACAACCCCCCAAAAAAAAATCAAATTAAAATTTACCATTATACACTCTCTCTGTCTCTCCATCAAGTTCAAAAGATTAAATATATCAATCGTTTGAATATAAAAACTTAATATTTTTATATTATAAAAAAATAAATAAATAAATTAACAACTCATATTAAAAAAAAGTCTAATTTATTAATTCTGCTTTAGGCCCTAAAATATTTGGGACCGCCTTGGTTTTGGGACCCCTAAAAATGATCATCTATTTTTATAAAATTATAGGGTTATATATATTCCTTCATTCTTGAAATATAAAAAAAATGATAAAGAGAATAGAAAGTCCAGATATATATATATATATATATATATATATATATATATATATATATATACACGATCTCAAATAAATTTATCAAAAGACCACCTTCATCCTTAAAATGTCATCACCTGAAATATGGGAAGTTTTATTGATCATTTCCTTGATACAGACATATATTTGGCACCAAATTTACTATTTTGGTAAGCTAAACTATGCATATTTATTACTGCTTCATTACATTACAAGCATGTATGAAACATCTTATTCTCCTATCAGTGACTCTCAAGACAGCCCGATCGGTCCTTTAAATGCCTAAGCAAAAGGCCTTTGGTTGTAGCAATTCTTTGCAAGAAAATTCAATTCTTTGCAAGAAAACTTGATACAACCTTAATTATAATACTAAAATCAATCCTAAGCTAATACAAAAACTACTACTACTGATGCCCAAGTCATGAGAACTGTTATTTCTTGAATTTCAAAAGTCATATTTACTGATCATAATAACTTAATCATCCTTTCGCATCTTTGAATTTTCTCACGAGCTTAATCAATAGTGATATTTGTAGGATATTTGTGGAGATGATTGCGGTAAAGAGAATGCACCTTTTGGATAAGTTAGGCGGGACGATAAGGGTTTTTGTCGCCTTACGTGTTGAATAAGACACATGTATTACTGTTTAAAAACAGTCAAGATCCCAATCGGTGTCTAGAGGCTGCTTCTCAAGCTTTCCATCAAATCGTTCTTGTATTACCAGTTAAAAACACCCCGAGTACTATGGTAAAGAAAAGGATTGATAAGTATTTTTGGTTCCATAAATTTTTTGTTAATTTAATTTTTATTATATTAATTTTATTAATTTGATTCTTAAAATATTCAAATTCGTGTCACTTTAGTTTTTAATCAGACAATCTATCAAGTTTTTTTACGAAAATGATCACGTCTCATTTTTTTAGACGGTATCATGTGCTCAACACGTGATCATTCAGTCAAAAATTTAATGGTTCGTCTCTGCACAAGTATAGAGTGACAATTTCTGACACAACACGAAAACATGACTTGAAATTGACACAAAATTAACATGTTAAGGTTAACTATTTCTCGATACGAACCCGTATATGACACGAGTCGTTAATACGAATAATAAATGAGTTGGATTAGTATCAAATACGATCAATACATTTAAATAGTATTATAAGAATAAAATGTTAATTTTTATTATATTTTATCAAGTAGAGACCTAATTTGTGTACCAAAAAATATATATTTTTATTCATTTTTAATATTATATTTATTAAATTAATTTTTAATTTAGAGAAAAAATATGATCAAAAGTTTGATTAAGCGATAATAAAATTTTATACATATTTAAGGTGACAATCGAGTCATGTCGTGTCAGATTTGTGTTATTATAAGTTTTTTATATTTCTTACTCGCGTAACAAGTCAATTTCAAATTCGTGTCGAGTTATTATCAAATTCGTGTCATAAAATTCGTGTCCAATTCCAATCATGTCATCGTGTTGAATAGAAAATTTTCATCCCTAAAATATGAAAAAAAAATATTTTTTTTAATTTAAAATATTTTTTTATTTTTAAATTTTTAAAAAGTATATATATATACATATTTTATTATTGTATTTTTATATGAAATTAATGTATACATTATATATAGACAAATAAGATACATCTAAATACAAATAATTAACTTTCTATCCATTTTCTTTCCGATTTTGGAGGGAATGATTTGGTAAGTTGAAAGAAAAGTTAATTCATCAACCTTTTCATCCTTACTATTTTCTTTCCTTACAAAACATGATATTTTATTTATTCATCTAATTTTCTATCCTTCTAATTTTTCATTCTTCCATTTTGTCATCATACCAAACGGGGCATTAAGGTTTAACTCCTTTATATGTATCACTAATTATCTCCTCCCCTGGTGCATTGTGGCCTTGCATGTCATTTTTCGAACATACAGGAGAGCCTAAGTAGCATAGAGTAATACTGGACTGATCAAACACGATATCAAAAACAAAGACCGGGTTAATTAAATTAGAATTTTAAGGAAAATAAAAGTTGAATCAGAAGCAAAAAATCATTATGGTAGCAAATTATAGGTCCCAATAGCATTACTCCTATCTTATTAACATGTGGGTCAGCACATGGTTGCGAACATTACTGTAAGAAACATTATACCTGTGGTTTCATGGGATGTTTGTGCCAAAAGGCAGCAATTTCTCTCTTACGAATGTCTGTAGCACCAGTTGTTCCAAAAGCTCCAAATGACTTGGCTGCAGATACGAAAGCATCATAAGTGTAGAACCCTTTCGCAAGGCAAGCCGCATCATTCCGATGCTTCAACATCTGATCAAATTGGGTTCTACTGATGATCGAACCGACATCGCCTTGGGACAAGGCTTCTATGATAGACAAGAAACAGAACAACGCCACACCCCAAAACCTCATTTTTTCTCTCTCCCGCTTTATTTTGGCTTAATTGGTGTCTCTTAATATGTGGGTTTTAGCGTAGAAGAGGTGGGGTATATATAGGAATGGTTTTGATGGGTTGGGTTTGGGTTTGCATTTTTTTTTGGGGGGGTGGGGGGAGAGAGACTTTTCTTTTAATAGGATATTTTAACCATTGATTATCAGTTTTTAATTTCTAACGATGTCGAGTCATCACTACACATACCAATCTTAATTAGTGGTCGCGAATAGATGCCATAAGGAAGACTTGGGTTTGGGTTTGCATGTGGGGTGGGGGGAGAGAGACTTTTCTTTTAATAGACATTTTAACCATTGATTATCGATTTTCAATTTCTAACGATGTGGAGCCATCACTACATGTATCAATCTTAATTAGGGGTCGTGAACAAACGTCGTAAGCAAGACTCTAACCACTGATATTTTTAAGTAGGACAATGAAAGTTCATATTCGATACATTTCTTTTCTTCTTCAATTGATCATAGTTATGTTATTCCATGACTCCCACTACACTTTTCTTTTGATAATATTAATGTTGGGATATTTTAACCATTGATTGACAGATTTTAAAAGTTGTATTAACCGCAATCTCTAATTATGTCCTAAAAAATACGTGTGTTTTTGAGTTATCACTACATGCATCCATCTTGATTTGCTTGAATCGGGGAAGATGGGATTTGAGCAATCTTACCAATACAAACAAATTTTGGGGTCCAAACTTCAAGACACGAAAAATGGGTACAATCTAATTCTTTACAAGAAAACTTGATACAACCTTAATTACAACACTAAAATCTATCCTAAACTAATATAAAAACCACTACTAATGATGCCCAAGTCATGAGAACTGTTATTTTTGAATTTCAAGAGTCATATTAACTGATCCTAATTCTTTCTTTGATTACTGATATCCCTTATAAAAACTTAATCATCTTTTCGTAAATAGCTCCAATCTTAAAACTATTACTCTTCAAATTTCAAACGTCATACCGACTGGCCTATCTTTTCCACATTACTCAGAATGCCAACCACGTGGCAAGTTCTTTGCAGATTTTTTCGTGACATGTGTCTTTCCTTGTACATCCCAAAGTAACATATTTACCGTCCCTGGATGTTTTGAATTTTCTCATGAGCTTAATCAAGAGAATGTACCTTGGACCCGAAAAGAATGTACCATTTGGACAAGTTAGGCAGGACTATAAGGGTATTTGTCGCCTTGCGTGTTGAATAAGACACCTGTATTACAGTCAAGATTCTCAGTCGGTGTCTAGAGACCTTTCCATCAAATCTTTCTCGTACCATCAGTTAAAAACACCCCAAGTACTATGGTAAAGAAAAGGATTGATAAGTATTTTTGGTTCTTCAAGAATGTATTTTTTGTTAATTTAATTTTTATTGTATTAATTTTTTTAATTTGGTCCTTATAATATTTAAATTCGTGTCATTTTGGTCATTAATCACACAATTTTTTAATTTTTTTATGGAAGAGATCATTTGTTATTTTTTTAGACGGGATCATATTTTCAACACATGATCATTCAATCAAAAATTTAATAGTTCTTTTCTATACAAGTGTAACATGGTAATTTCTGACACAACACAAAAACAGGACTTGAAATAAACACAAAATTATGAGTTAGGTTAGCAACACAAATTCGTATATAACACGATCCCTTAACACGAACAATAAATAGGTTGAATTAGTATCAAATACGATCAATACATTTAAATATTATTATAAGAATAAAATATCAATTTTTATTATATTTTATCAAGTAGTGACCTAATTTGTGTACAAAAAAAAATATTTTTACTCATTATTATTATTATATTTATTGAATTAATTTTTAATTTAGAGAAAAAATATGAGCAAAAGTTTGATTAAGAGATAAAAAAATTTTATACATAAAATAGAGGGTTAAATTTTTTATTGACGGGTTATATCGGCTAACACAAAGATAACATGAAAATACATAAATCAACACGACACTATTAATTAAATAAGTTGAATTAAAATTAATTAATATTCAACATAAAATTAAAATAACCTGATACGAACGCGACGGACGAACTATGGAAGTGTAGTCTAGCTAAATGACTGATGGGTACGTGTGATTTTGCAAATACCTAATCAACCCAACCTATTAGCTTTGACCATATCTTCTGGTTCCCTTCCTACACGAAACTTCTTTTTTTATTTTATTTTTCAATTGCCAATCACAAAAGGATTGGTAAGTGTTCGATTGAATAGTTTATTTGATTAAAGGGGCTTACAAATAGTCATTATATAAGTAAAGAAGATTTATATTGAAGATTTACCCCAAAAAAAATATTCTATTAGGGGTCCATTTCTATACTAAGGGTATCTTCAACCCTAACTCAAATTTAAATTTGAGTAAAAAAATTTTAAAAATTTGCTCTAATTTTTATTCAAATTTATACCAAATCAAGGGAGACTATTTTTTTTTACTCAACATCTCAAACTATGACTTAAATTTTTACTCAAATTTAAGTTAGCATTTGAGTAAAAAGTTTGATTTGATACGAAGGACTTCAATTGACAAACTCAAATTTAAAGAATGAGACACTTTAATTTAAATGAGAACAAACTCAAAATTAAATGAGAGTAAAGATGACCATTAGATCTTTAAAATATGGTAAAATCTCATCATTAAAGATGTGAGTAAGGATTTGAGTCTCCCTTAATTTGAATAAAAAAAAAGTCTCTTGATTTGGTATAAGTTTGAGTAAGGGTTGGAACAAGTTTTTAAATTTTTTTTATTTAAATTTAAATTAATATTTGAGTAAAAAACTTGATTTGATATAAAGGACTTCGATGGACAAACTCAAATTTAAAAAATGAGAGATCCAAATTTAAATGAGGGCAAACACAAATTAAAAGAGAGTAAAGATGACTATTGGATCTTTAAAAAATTCTGAAATTTTACCATTAAAGATTTGAGTAAAGATTTGAGTCTCTCTTACTTTGAATAAAAAAATGAGTTTCCTTGATTTTGTATATGTTTGAGTCAAGGATTGAAACAAGTTTTTTAGACTTTTTTACTCAAATTTAAATTTGAGTAAGGGTTGGAGATGCCCTTAGAGAGACTCAAATTCTTACTCAAATCTTTAATGGTGAGATTTCACCATCTTTTAAAAATTCAATTGTCATCTTTACTCTCATTTAATTTTGGGTTTGCCCTTTTTTAAATTTTAATTTTTTATTCTTAAATTTGAGTTTGTCCATTGAAACTCTTTGTATCAAATTAATCTTTTTACTTAAATACTAATTTAAATTTGAATCATAGTTGAAAATGCTAAACAGACTTTTAAGAGAACTAAAATAATCCTACTCGAAGGGTTCTAAAAATTTTAGGGGGGAGCCGTGGCCCCCTTAGGCCATGGTGTAGCTCCGCCATGCTTTTAAGAGAACTAAAATAATCCTACTCCAAGGGTTCTAAAAATTCTAGGGGGGAGCCGTGGCCCCCTTAGGCCATGGTGTAGCTCCGCCATGCTTTTAAGAGAACTAAAATAATCCTACTCTAAGGGTTCTAAAAATTCTAGGGGGGAGCCGTGGCCCCCTTAGGCCATGGTGTAGCTCCGCCATGCTTTTAAGCGAACTAAAATAATCCTACTCTAAGGGTTCTAAAATTCTAGGGGGGAGCCGTGGCCCCCTTGGGCCATGGTGTAGCTCTGCCATGGCTCGTGCTACAATATTTGGTAAATAAAATTTCAAAAGCATGGTGTTACATTTCGATTCTTTTGGGATGTACAAGAGAGAAGAAACAAGTCAAGTATAAATCATCAGCGAACTTGCCACGTGGTTGGCATTCGAGTAATGTGGAAAACATAGGCCACTTGGTATGACGTTGACAGTAATCAAAGAAAGAATCAGGATAAGTTAACATGACTTGGAGTTCAAGAAAATATTAGTTGTCAGGATTTTGACATCATTAATTGTAATTTTCTAATTAGTTTAGGATGGAATTTAGTAATGCAATTAAGACTGTTTCACTAAAAATATTTCGTAAATGAGTCCCTTTTAAGATTAATAAATAAAAATATTACCTTTTGTTAATCTTTCTTAAATCATTCTCTTTTACTTAAATTATGTCAATTATTTTTATACAAAAAAGTTCTGAAATAAAACAATTTATCATTTAAACAATTACTTGAAGTACGTCGTCCGTCGAAGGAGAACTACCAGGCAATCGCGAGAGATTTGGACCAACACAATGCGACAACCTTCCCTCAGATTGGCAACAACAATTCGTAATTTAATTTAAGCTTACACAACACATTCGATTTCAGATCAAAGCTTTGGAAGCTTTGAGTCGCCTCCAATCCTTTGATCAAAATTAAGCCTCTCCGACCATCTTAAAAAGTTGGAGTTGTCTACGATATTGAATTTTTTTTTTTTTTGTGTCTTATTGATATTTTTCACATTTGTGAGTACTTTTAGTACTATTGTGATAATTATAAATAATAATAAAAATAATTTTCACAACAATGAAAAAAACATACACAAAATAGTAAATTACTCGCAAAAGTGATAATTGTTTTTGTATAGAAGAAAAGTAATAAAAATAGTTACAACAACATTGGTAAAATTGTTGGACTAAGGCAAATTTTGGCAATTAAAATTTGATTTTTAGTCGACTTTGAGTCGAAATTAAAGTGAGACTTACTTGTTGTTTCTAGTAAATTTTCATGGGTTTGTGTTCTACTTCGGGAGAAAAATAATATAGTGTATTCACTTGCTCAAATCGCATATAAAATGAATGAGAAAATATGTTCTAAAGTAACTCATTTGGATTGTGAAAATAAAAATTGTGTAATGTAGGATTTGACACTAATCTCATATTGATTGACGAAAAATTTTTACTTATATATATATATGTCAAGTTTATTCTCTATGAGATACCACACTTTTATGAGAAGAACGAGCGCCTACGTGTCATCGGTTTCGACCACACACAAG